CCAGGAGCAGCACGGCCACGGCTGCAGCCGGGCACTGCGGTTTGCGATCACCAGCGTAAATACGGAGCCCGGGGTTCCTGGTAACACCGCTAACAAAATGCCAAGAAACGTCTCCACTTTGGAGTTTTGGTGGTTTGGTTTTTGTTTTTTTTCTTCCCCAAATCTGTTAGCACAGTTAAGACGGAACTGAGCCACTCGGTTACAGGTCAGCTGCTGCTCGCTGCTCCAGGCACCCGCTTCGGCTCCAGACACCCCCAAGCTCCATCTCCCCCCTTCCCCAGGGAAGGGCAAGTGTTCCCACGCTGTATTTTCCCCAAGCAGATATTTTTCTCCTCTCTGTTGGCAGGTGGGGGCTGGCTGCACCCAACCAGGGTGCACTCGGGGGCAGGGATGGGGATGCTGCAAGCAGCCCCCCTCTCTGGAGCACAACAGGACCAGGAGCCTCCCAGCCCTCCCGCTGCAGGGGTGGCTCAGCACCCATGGGGGACCCCCCCAGCCAGCCCTGAAGCCAAAATGCAGGGACGCAACGGAGCCTGAATCCACCCCCGTCCCAGTTTTGCACTGCAGCATCCCACCAGCTTGCAAGCTTGCAGTGGTGCAGGGGAAATTTCTCCACCTCCATCACAGCAGCACCCACGGGTGCCAACCGCAGACGGGGGGGGGATGCAGCACTCAGCCCTGAGAGCTAAATTAATCCCCCTACCAAACACCTACAGGGAATCCAGAACCTGGTTTGGGGCTGGGAAAAAAGAAGGTGGGAAAGGGTTCAAGTGGTCCCAGGCCTGGGGAGGGGGGAAGGGAGAGGGGGGGGCTGGTGTGCAGACCCCTCAGATGCAGGGGGGGACACGGGGCACTTGCTTGGGACCGGGACGAGGCAGGGACAGCAGAAAGGGCATTCGACAAATGAACACTCACAGCATCGCTTCCTCCAACCCACGCTCCGGATACAGGTGCTGGCAGCGGCACCCGCTGCCCTCCACGGAGGAGGTGCTGAGGGCCCCCGCTCCGGGTGGGGAAGCACCAGCCCCCTCTTCCCTCTCCCTGCAGAAATCCCCTGGGGTTCCTGCACCAGCAGGAGCTGGGATGGCACCGTGAGGCTGGGACCTGTCCCCAAGCACAGGCTCCACTTGGTCACCTCCGCTGGGACTTCTGCAGAGGAGCCCAGCACCAACCGTGCAGGCAGGATGTGAGCCCAGGGTCTGGATCTGCCCACCCAGGGAGCGGGCAGGGTCTCAGCCCCCCCGGGATGCCCAGGACCACCCAGCTCTATCCCATAGCACACATCCCCTGTGCAAACCTAGCGGGGAGCAGCAATGCCATGGACTGGAGGCAGCAGCGGCCGTGCCCATCAGACACGGCAAAGCTCCCGTGGCCCATCCAGAGGGATGCCTGGCCGGCAGAGACCCGCACCCTGCTTTGCTCCGGGTGCAGGGGGAGACGCGGCAGGGAGACAGGCACAGAGCAGGCACCGGCCACTCGTCACCCCCGCTTGCACTGCTGGGACACAGAGGGAGCCAGGCACCCCGACCCAGCGGCTGCGGGCGAAGGCAGCACCACAAGGCAAGCCTGGCCCCCCTGCCCACCCCCAGGACCCAAAATAAAGGGCTCAGCCCCAGGAGGGAGAGCGGGCAGCCCTGCTCCCACAGCACCCAGTTGAACCAGCCGATGCAGGAGCTGCGCTGGGGACCGTCTGCAAGGCTGCTGCTCCCACAGGACCCATGGCTTCTGCTGTCCTGGGCGGGGGGTAAAGGCATGACCTTCATCTTATTGCCCTCCTCCCTCCCGCAGATGCTCCCCCCATCCCATCAGCCACACCAAGGCAATTCCCAGTGACCCCCTTCCTCCCTTCCCCACATCTCCTTCCTCCACCCACGGCCGTCGAAGGCTCCCTGGGGTGGGCAGGGCTCGCCCCGCAGCTGGGGGAAGCGTGGGAAACCCACAGCATCACGGCAGAGAAAAGCAAGCACAGCACCCAGTAGTGTTTTCCAGAACCAAGAAGCCTTCCAAAACCAATAGCACAACTGGACACGCACCCTCCAGCCCGTTAACGACGGAGAAGCTCAACGGGCAGCTCTGCCCCCAAACCTGGTCTCCCCCCACCATCCCAGCATCCCAGCGCCATGCTCCCGGCCTCCTGCAACCGTGCCCAGGAGGCTGCAGCGAGGGGGCAGCAAGGGTCCTGCAGCCGGGATTCACCCGTGGGAGAAGGGACATGTCACGGGGGGACGGCGGCAGCAGGAGGAGGATGCCCGGACACACGCAACCGGGGGTGCCGACGGCAGGACGGCACGTCCCGCTCTCCAGCTGTGGGGCAACGGGGCAGGGAGCTGCTTCTCCCCGGGGGCTTTTCCACGGTGCCCCGTGAAGCGATGAG